TTCTTTCCCACCCTTTACCTCACTCACTATTTCTGTTTCTGCTACTCTGCTGCTACTTTCTACCTGTCACTCTCTCTACCAATACGAAACTAACAACAGGAGAACAATTCGCATACATTCTGGGCAATGTAATTGGTATTTCCCCATTCACATTAAAAATTCCCCAACTGATGGCCCAGCGCCAATGTTTCAAAATGTAATGTGAATGAGCAAAGCAGCTATGTTTGGACTGTGCAACAGATATCAAGCATTGAAAGTACCATACTAGTTTAGTACCTGAAAAAAATCAATAGTAGTAACAAATTTCAGATTCTATAAACACTGGAGTTAGGACTGATTTAAAAGCAGCGAATCGTTGAGCACTGCAAGAGCAATAAGGATTTTTAGGGGCATTATGACTGGGTCAGTATAACACAGCTGCCCCTAAAAGTCCCTCACTTTTCTTGCTGACTTTTTTTGCAGTTTCTTTGTCCAGATTTACTGCTCTAACATTTAAAGTTATATCATAGACTCAAAGGAATCTAAACTAAAGGTCAGCCTGGAGTATAATATCCATCCTTTCCCTGGACAAAGACCAAGCATAATGTCAGACCCTTATTATTAGAAAGCATTAAATGACAATTGATTTCAATTGCCAAACTGTTTTACTACGCCAGTTTTCTTTTTAGCTAGACAGTATAAAACTCTTGGAAAGCAGCAATGCCATTTACAGCTTAGACATCTCTTCATCACTTAGGCGGATATTTGATGACACAGAAGTTTGAGTTGCCTTCTTGTTCTATTCAAATTATGCAAAGGAAAACTTTTTAATAAATTCAAAGCAAACCAGTTAATGCAAATACCACTGTGTTTCAGTTAAATGATCATTAAAAGCTGTTAGAAAAGACGCAGTCATGACTGGAATTTTTGAAAATAATTAAATATGAAGTATTTTGTAAAATGATTGGTAAAAACAAATGTATGTTTTATCCTGTATGCACTTTGGTTATATTTTAATCCTCCATACTGCTTGTATTACACTAAAATGATAGCATCTAAAGAAATAACTTTTACCTATATTTAATTACTCTTTCATGTTTTCCATGTGTACTGTTTGGAAGAGATTAGTTTACAATGGTTAGGCCTTTGCAACTGTCTAGATGTGTGACAGACAGAACAATATATACAAATCCATCGGGAAATGGAAAACTATTGGCAGGCAGCTTTGAGATCTTCTTAATATGACAAACTATATCAGACATGCTTGGTAGCTATCCCAGAATCCATACACACTAACAAAGCTGTAACCCGCCACTCCCTGTACAGTAAACTCTTTAATGAAAACTGACATACTTCTTTTACAAAAACTAGTACTTGCTTTTATATTTATTTTTAATTGTCATTGAAGTCAGTGTCTTTCGTTAAATTATCAAAAACTCATTTAGGTTTTTTTTATCTGCATAAATGATGTACTCCATAAATCTTTAGGTGTTACAAAAAATTTAGCTGTATTGTATGCAGTTTATTTTACTAAACAAGAAGACAGTATTATTTATAGCTACTTTCTATAAAAACACTTTTAGGACAATCATATTACATATAAGATCACAAATGTTTTGGCCAATACAAGCACAAGCATTTAAAGGAAATCATCCCGATTTATTTATTTTTGCTATATTTTGTTATGCTTAGTAGTCCTTTTGTAAGATAAATGTAGCAGATATTGTAAAGCTATAGATAGACCGTTTCATTTTCTACTGTATTTACTTTTAATCTATTAATAGCATCTAAATAGCACATTTTAGCTATAAAATGTAAATAAAACAATGAAAAATATATATAGCCTATTTTTAAAGTTTTTAGTTAAGAACGGAAATTAATTAACGTTATTTTAAAATCACAGAATAGATTTTTTTTTATTCTATCCGATTCCACTTTATTATTAATACAGATAGGTTAAAGGACACACACACACACCCTACACTCGCGCGCGCATTCAGCACGGTCAATTGACAGAGATGGTCACATGGGCCGAAAACTGGGACTTTGTAGGCCAGTTGAATAAAAGGAAAACTCACCTTGCCCGCAAAGACCCAGCCTCTGACACACTTTCAAGTGTTACTGAATTCTGCTTTAGGATGGGTGATCGTGCGCTAAAAGTGTATAATATGTGCTAATCAGTCGCATTTGCAATTAATCGACTGCATAACTCAGAAACGCGACCAACCCATGCATGTGACATGAGAAACAACGACGCGACGCGTCCAGTGACGAGCCTATTCGACTGTCCAGGTTATCACTTTTTACCTGTCATTTCCACCATGTACACCAGCACCAACCTTCCTCCGTGGAGCTGCTTTAGAAAGAAGAGGAATATCGTCTGAAGAAGAATGGAAAATGTTGCCGCGTAGTGAGAAGTTGCTGCCACTCTTCACACATTATCATCACCCGCCCCCTATTTGCGCTCAACTCTTCATGAAGACACAGTATATCCACAGGGACCGCTTACAACACTCTCTCTTTGCGCAAAAGTGGACGAAGGGAAAAAGTCAATATTACGCGGTGACACAGTGAGCCTTGTTAATACGCAAGCTTTTGAAATTCTTCATGTACACTGATTTAACCAGAGCGACCCCATGTGCTCGTTATTAATGAATTATCCATCTGACTTCTGTAGGCAGATCATATTTGCAGTGTACATCATGTTGCGCTAAAGCGCCACCGACTGGTTCCTTTGATCACATGCGGCATTGTGTCTTGCAGAAAGTCCTACTATGATGAAGGCCTACTTCATGAATATTAACAACGTCTGACGTTGCTTAGTAACCCTAGAATGTCCATTCACATATCTTAGTGAAAACTTGTTTCTTTAGTTAAGATTACTGTTTTGAATAAGCGGATAGCGTTACTCCTAATTCATATCCATAAGCCAGTGACAGTCCTTCATCGTAGTATGCATGTAAGCATCCAGGCCCTGGACCTCCCAGAACTGGATCGACGTCTTGCGTGTGTGTGCAGAGGACTTCATTAAAACAAATTCCCTGACCTAGAACAAGCACTCATTTATACTAATATTATTAATAAACCATCTCTACTGTGAAACAATTGACACAATCAATCAATTGCATCGTTTATTTGTTTTTAACAAATTTCTCAAAATCAGAATTTATTCCACATTATATATATATATATATATATATATATATATATATATATATATATATATATATATATATATATATATATATTTTTTTTTTTTTTTTTTGTATATTATTTTGAGTTCTCATCTCAGTTGCAAAGAAGGGGTGAGGTAGAGAATGGATGTGGATCGAGCGGCTCCCTGTGGTCACGCCTGATATATCCAAAGACCATTGTTAATTTTTATTACATTATAACACAAATACAATAAGGCAAATTCCACTAACAACTTTTACCTACATTTACAGAACAGAACACAAATAATAATAATAACAGCCTAATAATAATAATAATTAGCCTACACGACAGGGTCTTCTATGAAAAGATTGTTTTAACTAAACAGTCTTCTTCCTAATTTTTGATTTCACCAACTTTAAAAATGTAGGCTACAGAATTACCAAAATTAATTTAGGAAAACCAAAACAGTAGTTTTGTTTTAAGGCACTTGCATTTATGAATATAAAATTTCTGAATTTAAATATTATTTAATACAAAATTAATATTAACATCTTCCCCTTATAAACCAAATAAAATATTATTTTTAGAAAATTTGGAGACAACTTGAGAGAAACTTTTAGCCACTCAAATGAATCAGAGTAGAAGGTTAATAAACAGTGAAATAATAAATGTGCAGTCGTTTCAATGTCAACCTCACAAAATGTACAATTATTGTGATCAAAATTAAATCTATGTCTAAGAAACTCTGAAGATGGGAAAATATCAATGAATCTTTTAATGTGTACTCCTTAGCTCTGGGAGGTATGGGGAAAGAAAGAAACATAGTTCTTAATCCAATATTAGAGCTTTTGGGGAAAAAATACACATTATTTCTACTAGCTTGTAATGGGAATTTATCTTGAGTTCAATGATCTTATTTTATTAGGTATTTCACTCTGAATAAAATCTTGTCCATTTATCAACACAATGAAGTGTCATTTATAATGGCGACCACATTAAACATCATTACAAATGCCTACGGAATAGATTTCAATATCCTGTTATAGTGCATGATCCCATCCAAAGTTAGATTTTTCACAAACATTTCTGTGACTCAGAACCTCACCCTCTTTGTTCTCTTTGTTTCTAAAAATGTACATATTGTTCCAAATTTTATTATGTGGGAAAAAATTTATGTTTGTAAATTAATTTCCAGCATAAAAAAAACCTGATCATGAAATTCTGATAATTTGACAGGGAGTTTCTGTATTAAAAATCACAAGGTTATAGAGTTCACTTTTGAAAATATTATTTATAGATTATTTCTGGATATAGAAGCAGAAACTATTATCACTAGCGAAACATTTTTAGTTTTTGATGAATGAGTTATTTAATCTATGCCATTCATACAATCAAAATCTATGGACTGCAGACGTATTTATAATTTTCTAATATTGTTCCTTTTTCAACAAAACGAACTTTCCTCTTCCAAATAAAATGAAAATTCAACTCATTGAAATGGGAAGGGAACAGAGTAAACACATGGAAAAAGATTCCCCTTTTGTTAATAAAACTTTCAAAAATAGAGATTTCCCTTTGCAACCATTTATCCAGTCTAGTTTTAGGGATTACAACGCCAAGATATTTAAGCCTATATATATATATATATATATATATATATATATATATATATATATATATATATATATATATATATATATATATATATATAATATTGTATTTAAATAGAACATTGCCTTTGCAAATCTTCTTTAACTTTCTGCGGCTGATCCTTCCCTCGATCTTGTCCCTGACCCCCATTATATTTAGTGACATTTATCGTTTGTCCACTGATGTATTAATTGATTCTCAAAAGAAGACACGCCCTCCACATGTCGTCATCACGCCAGCCCGGTCGGGCTTGCGGCAGAAGATCGTGTATTTTTGTCAAATGGTCTGTTATATTTTTACAGAATATTGTGTACGAATGATTGTTTACATTGCGTTGGTTATTCGGCTAACATCGACGATCCTTCGGTGAGTCTCCATGATTGTTCATCGCGTTGTTTGTGCAAGCAGGGATGTCAGCTGATGATTATGTTTGCCTGTGCATCTGTCTGACGCCGTTCATCATTTATAAAATGTCTTTATATGCCTCCACCAGAACCTCTCTAATACTAAATCACATATATTGAATTCAAATCAGCATGGATGGGGATTTTGCCAATTGAGAGATATATGCCCGGCCTGTAAAATGGCCTGTAAATCAGTGCAAAGTTGTTGTAACTTGCTGTCTTTCGTGGCTATTTTAAATTAATGATTACGTCGACAGTATTACTCTATTGTGCTCAAAATTAAGGTTAAAACGTTGATGTTGTTGTGAAAGATGCCATGTCACGCTATGTAAACACGAATGGCTCACACTTCGTTACACTTGTAAATATGAAGAGTTGCCTGATGTAGCCTACCTGGGCTCATTCAGTCATGTGTACATACAGTAACAGTATAAACCACTATTACGCTATAATAGCCACTAACACAATATAATCAAACATCATATCTTTTCATTTGCAAGATTTCTTTGGGTGACGCAGAATGCATATTGCTATTGTGTATTTATATAAGAAAGGTAATGAACGCACCAACAGCAAAGACGTGTTATTTGTTTCATTAACTATTTTAAAATGCAAATTAACAGAAAAAAATTGTGCAGCTGCTCTTATAATGACATTATAGTCTCATTCTACAGTCACAAACTAATAGTGTAGCTAGAATTAACAGTGTCTTTATTTGTTGTGATGCAAAAATATACAACCTCGTGTCCTTTCTCAAATGCATTTCAATATAAAATTGTGTTCCCCGTAAGTTGATTAACTGTAAAACAAAAGATTGAAGATGGAATGTTTAGTTACCAAATAGTTATGTTATCAGTTTACTTCCATTGTGTGGATAATAAAAATAATAATAATAATATGATTAAAAATAAATGAGGGAGGGTCCATACAACATGTGTACAATATATGTAGTTTACAGTTCCTTTTAAACGGATTGATAGGCAAAGGCTCAAATGTTGTCCTAAACACACAGTAATCTCTCTAGTAAACAGTGAGGAGTTAGTAAGGTTAAGAGATGCTTGAAAACTGTAGTGTGTCAGCTGTGTTGGTCTTCTCGTATTAGGTCTGCACAGTATATCATTTCAGATATCGCAGTGTCACATCGCAGGATGTGCAATGTTGAGTTGGTTATATAGTTGATCAGACACTTCAGAACAGGCGATGAGCTTTGAAAAGCAAGTGCAGTTTATCCATAATAGAGCAAATTATTTTAAGTACTTTGACTGTTTGAGAATTTCAGGAGTTTAAAGCATTTATTTACAATAAAATAGTATCGTTTAAAACTTTAATAAAATGTTTTTTTAATGATTGATACAGTAAAGAGTATATAGTTTTACATTAGAATTTTCTTATTGTTTCTGTACCTGAACATTATTCAGGTAGTCCCCATAAATCCAGTTTTTTTTTTTCAATTTTATCTTTGCTTTGTTGAATTTATATATCATTGTAATTTATTTTATTTTATGCAGATGTACTACATAAAGAATGCCATCTCAATCAATCTAAATTATTGAATAAAGCTATTCATCTCATCTGGGGAGAATTGTATAGCGCAGAAAAACAGAATATGGCAATGTCCGATTTTTCTAATATTGTGCAGCCCTACCCTTCATGCTAACTGCTCATTCATTTATTTTCTTTTTGGCTTATTCCTTTTATTAACCTGAGATGACCATAGTGGAATAAACTGCCAACTTATTCAGCATACGTTTTACGCAGCGGATGTCCTTCCAGCTTCAACCCATCACTGGGAAACACCCATACACACCCACATACATACACTACGGCCAATTTGTCTAACCTAATTTACCTATACCGCATGTCTTTGGACTTGTGGGGAAAACCGGAGCACCCGGAAGAAATCCACACCAACACTAAAACATGCAAACTCCACACAGAAATGTCAACTGACCCAGCCGTGGCTCAAACCAGCGATCTTTTTGCTGTGAGGCTATTGTGCTTCCCACTGCACCACCGTGTTGCCTCATGCTATCTGTGTTCATGTCAAACATTTCAATTTTAGCATGCACCCTTGTATTGTTTTTCTCAAATCAAAACATTATTCTGCTATCTATGATCAGCTCGTTTCTTCTTGTGATTCCGTCTCTCAGGGGGAGGCAGGTGAGTGAGGATCCCACACTGTGGGGAAGCCGCACACTCAATGGTGTCTCCCACAATGAGGGCATTGGTGGATGCAGTTTGGGCAGTGTGGAGCATCGGGGCTTCAATCTATGACTACATCCACACGAGTGCTATGGAGGAACGCATCCACTCACTGGAGAGTGCCATAACCATCCACCAGTGTGTCATCGGCCTGCTGTCTGCTGGACTTGTAGCACTTTTCACCTATATTCTGCTAAGGAAGCACTGACTCAGGACTTTTACAGGTCATTTACAAAGCCACATAGACAACAGGGGAGACCATGGTAACATGTTTGTGTCAAGCTCACCTAAAAGGGATTTTAACATCTTCTTTAAAGCTTGTCTTTTACCTAATCCATGACTTAACTTTTCTGATTCTCCCTAATTTTTTTGACTTTGAAGTCAATGTGATCTGGTAAAAACAAAACAAAAAATGCTACTATTTTCCATTATGGCAAAAGGAAGGATTCAGGGATTGTACCTGTTTAAGGTTTTAAATGAAAGCTGGTGAAAGCTACACAAACACAAAAAATAACCACTGGATCTGCAGGCAATTTAACCTGTTTGCTGCTGTTGTAAATGGAGTCAGCTTTAGTACATGGGACTTTAAAACCATTTTTAACTGAATGGCTAAGGACAGCTTCATGCTAACATCTCACACAACCTTTTACCAAATCAATTGTTATTTGTTAATAAAATAAATCAGTGACAGATTAAATTCATAAAGTGTCCTTATTCATGATATATTTGACTACTTGTAGGTGTCAGGCTTAGTACTTTGACATTTAATTGTGAAATCAGTAAAGCACAATGTGTTTTTTCTTTATTTAATTTTTACTCTTACAATTTATTTACTGAAGGAAAATAAAATGGGTCATCTGTTCAATAACAGCCAATTGTCTGGATTAAGCATGGGCAAACTTGATCCTGGCAGGCCGGTATCCTTCAAAGTTCTGCTCCACTGACTTCTGCAAGTCACTGATTAGTTTGTTCAGATGTGTTTGATTAATGTTGGAGCAACTTTTCTGGTCCTCCAGGATCAAGTTTACTCATCCCTGATCTATTTAGTCTAAAATTCAGATTATTCTGACTGAATTGATGCTACCTTCTACAGCTTACACAATTTCACTGCCGTTTCGAGTTTGATTGTTTGCATTTGCTTGGTGTGTTGATGAAAGCCAGGATGTACCACAATACAAAGTATTTCAAGACAACAACAACAAGATAAAATGTTTATTTCTGAAGGTACAGGAAAGTACAAATTTATGCACCAAAGAAGTTTTAGGTTTGCCTTTACTAATCCAGCATTTGTGCTCCAGACATGAACACAGCTATGTATTAAAGAATCATACAGAATTTAAATGTTGCCAGTCTGCAGCAATGTGTACAGAGTGGTAAAACGCTCAACACTTTCTCCATCAAGGGTCTTAACAGCCCTCCAGTGGATTTTTCCGCAGTTCTCTGGGTTACCATGCCTTCCCAACTCTTCCTTAATGTAGTCAATCCAGAGACCTAAACAAATTATTTTCCTTGTTCAGTGAAATATGTGAAAACATGAAAGGGATTTAAAAGGCTAAAAGCAAATCAATCAATCACACTCACTTTCATCTGAAGAGCCAAACTCACGAAGCACTCGCTCGTAGCAATCTCTAAGGTTACTCATCTTTGGAGTCTCCTGAGTATGTTATTAAATAAAAGTGTAAAATGTTAGAGATTACCTAACAGGCTACTATACATAAAATATCCCACAAGTGCTACATCAATTCACCTGCTCTTTCTCAATCTGAATCATCTGCAGGAAGAATTCCTTAGTAAAGGGTCTGTGTTCATGTAAGCTGAAAAAAAGAGATAATATGTGATGAAAATAATTCCATTAAATCAGAAAAATGACAAAAGCATTTTGCTTGTTTCCTCAGCCTCTCTGCCATTTTAATGTGTACCTTACGAAGGTTTTTCTGGCCCTTTTGTAACCACCAGTTTTGTATGACCATTCAAGGTATTTTTCCTTTATGGCAGCTGACACTGCAGGAACTGGGGACAAGATCCCTTTCTGCAAATATAGGATTAGGTGAAACCAAATAATGTGATGCATTATTATTTGTGTACTACTAAGATGCAAATCATATCAATATAAATTTGGTAAATAACACGCATAGACAGACAGAAATATTTTCAACATTGTTGACTCATCTTGCAGGAGTTTTGTAGAAAAAAAAACTTTTATATCATGTCCCACCTGAAAGAATGCTTCCGTTTCTTTTGGCGTTTGCGAGGCCATACTCCAATCAGCCTGCATCTGCCATATTGCCAGACTTTCCTGTTGAACATATATACAGATGGTTAGACATAATAGGGTCTGATCTTCAGATATGACCAGGATTACAACTATAAGGATTGCAACTATTATTAAATATTTTCTTTGTCATTAATTATACATACATTCATATTTCACACTTTTATCTAAAATGACATAAGAATGGAATTTAAGAAAAGGTTTTTAAGTTTTCCCCCCCAAAAAAGTCACACTTGATGGAGAACTTATAAGATTCAATTACAGTTGATAATATAATTGATGAAAAAAAATGAGCATAGACTTCACCGAACAATATTTTATTACGTATGATACATTTAACTGTAACTTGTAAAGCCTTTTTTTAATACTTGGCTGAAATAGTTTTTTTATAGCCATTATTCATGCACAGCATCACAAGGCATAAGAAAAATCTGGATAGCCTCATGTTACACTGTGATTGGACGTCTTTGTGGAGTTATACAACAACAGGACTCATAATCCTGTACACGTGGCAACTTCTCACTAGCTGATTTACTAAACAGTGCTGTGGATAATAAACGTGCAGGACTGAATTTTCAAAGCAGAGAAAAAGCTTTTACTAGTTATATTTTTGGCATTAACGTTACTGTAGCTCAAAGAGTAGAGTGTAGTGCTAGCAGCAACAAGCTGTGGAGTTTGATTTCCAGGGAATGTGTTGAATGATAAATTGTAAAAGTCACTAAGCTACATTTAAGGGTTACTTGTATTGCTTTGCTATAGCCCACTAAAGAAAAAAAAATCCAAATAACTACAGAAGACAATTTATTAACGTTGACTAATTAGAGCAAGTCAGTTATTGCAGTACGATGGCCCACTTAGAGTCAGCTGTGGCACAACTTCTACCTTGAGACTGATGTGTTTTAGAGCTTCCTGGAATAAAGGTCCCGCCTCTGGACTTTTCAGATGGACCAATGTCTGGAGGCTGAAGCTCCACATTTCCACTGATTGGCTGAATCGCTGGGCTGCTGTGGTGGCGATCTGGGTAGCAGTTATTGTATCCCCCGATGACAGCAGGACCTGGAGCTGTGTTTTGAGGGGATGAAAGTGGCCTACATTACAAACACCATTTTAACTCACTGCTGCATAAAGGGTGGGTAAGAAAAAGGTATTTCTATGACAACTGTTGACTGCATTACCCAGTTCTTGTAGAAAGTCTCCTGCAAAAGCTGTGCATCGTGAGCACTTTGTAGGACTCGGAGTAATCGTTCCTTTCTCTGACAAAGAAGAGTTACAATAAATTAAAGACCTAAACTCTGAATTCAAAACAACATGACAACCTAAAAATAAAACTGACAAATACCAACCCACTTCTGTGAATGATCTAAAATAAAACATGAATAATTGATTTATTTTTAACTCTATAACAATTTCTTTCCTTCAATTAAAAATTGAGCTAATCGTCTACACTTCATTGGTATGCACTTAAAGGTGCAATAGGTGATTGTCTTTAGAAGCATTTTTTGTTGTGCTGGTTGAAAGTATTTTCACAGTCTAACAGTGATGATTACAGTAAATGATTTAAATGTATTTATATGTATTTTTATATTTTGGGTAAGGCATAAAACAAAAAATGTTCATCCAATTAAATAGAGTCGGACCGGCATCTCATAATTCCGATAAGTAGCCTAATCTGTCTGTCAGCAAATGCAGATTTGAACAACTGCGCAGCCGTTTGTACGCAGCTCTGCCAACCGCCGCACGTTCACGAAAGAGAGAGCGCGCGCGCAATCGGTAAAAACATGCTAAAGCAAAACTTTTTAAAAACCTGAATCAATATTGGAGTTAACTTTGCACGCTGGAGAAAGAATGACACCATGTCTGAAGGATTTCTCTTAGACAGGTAATGTTCTGTTTTAAAACTGTTTCAGCTTCACGCAAAGCTGATGTAATGTTAGAGGTTGTTCTTACAAATGGGTTATATCTTCACAGAAGTGTTGTTCAGCTACTATAATCTTTCGGTGAAAGACTGATAAGACTGATAAGGATTTTGATTAGTTTAACAACAAAACACAAGTAAATACCGCTATTCCGCCTTGCCTCTCCCTATATTGTTTACCATGCAACTCTAAATATTTGCTCTGAAATAGCATGTCAGTTTGGCTTGCACGCCACCGGACAAGCACTAGTGGCTTTTAACACATAAGACAGGGTTCTTTTGCGGTGCTCGTGTTTCAGGAGGCGTGGCTCTAGATGGGAGGGGAGCGACTGTGATTCAGAGATTTATGCTAAGCTGTTAGCATTGTGGAAGATCACCTTCTGTACCTTTAACTGTTGCTTACTAATTGGCCTGATGACAAACCTACTAAAAAGATGTGTTTGCTGTGAATTTAATCTGCAAAATCGGGGTCCATTCTTCATAAATTTATTACTCAGTAAGCTGGATCCTATTATTGACAATTTGGCACAATCCAGGACAGTATAGTTCTTCCAGGAGCACTCTTATTTCATATAAACATTTCAAGCGTAGGTGATACTGAAAGAATGTATTTTACCAACTGCTGATATGTTCTCAGAGTACTGTAACAAATAGGGGAAAATAGATATTTTTTGGAAATAAATCAGAAATAAATGTTTGTTTAAACTTATGTAATCTACTCTTCGCAATATAAGATATTAACACGGTCACAGGGTGGTACCATTTCAATGGGTTCAAAGAGAGCACGTTTCTACTTTTTAAGTGACTAATATGTACACTTTAGGTACTTAGCAAGACAGCAACATGGTCCTTTTAGATGTAAACTCACACTTGGAAAAGTCACTCTACCTGTTTAGTGCTATTTCTAAGAGTATACAATAAAAAAACAAACAATATTCTCATGAGACATTTCGCTTTCTTTTTTTTGTAATTGAATACTTACATAATTTACAGCATAATTAACAGTAATGTTGAGAGCTAATATGCTGATGCTTTGATGGAGCACAGTAGATGCAGACACATCTCAAAAATTAAAATGCTAAATTAAATAACTGGTTATGCCTTAAACCACAAAATTTTGAAACTTGATACCATCCTGAAGAAAATCCTCTCTAATGTAAAAAAGTTAAATTGCTAAATTGTTGACATAAAAAAAATTTGTAAAGCCACCAAACGTAGACAGCTCTTGCATACCATTAATACACTGTTCATTTACTACAACAAACACAAGCTCATAGAGTAGTCTCAGATCAATTCATCCAATTTTTTTTATCTGATTCACAAACTTGATTAAACAAATTAGTCAGAGATCAGTGATCAAGATTAAAAGATCCAGGATCTGCCGAATTCTCTTAGACTCGGTCCTGGAGGGCCAGTGTCCTGCATATTTTAGTCCCAACCTCAATTAACCACAACTTAACAAGCTAATCAAGCTCTTTCTAGGTAAACTAAAACTTCCAAGCAAGTGTTTTGAA